GGGCTCTCTGCCAATCCCTAGGTACCTTACCCTCTTCCATACATTTATTAAATAATTGCACCAACCACTCCAAAACTATATCCCCCCCTTTTGTTTTTAACATTTCTATCTTTATCCCATCAATCCCGGCGCCTTCCCCCCTTTCATTTTACCTACTGCCTCACGAACTTCCCCCACACTCACAACTGGCTCTTCCTCACCCCTTTACAAGATGTTATTCCTCCTTGCCCTATACACGAAATCACAGCTTCCCTATTTTCATCAACATTTAACAATTCCTCAAAATTTCCTTCCATCTTCCCAATACCTCTAACCCTCCATTTAATAACTCTCCTCTCCTATTTTTAACTGACAAATCCATTTGTTCTCTAGGCTTTCTTAACTTGTTAATCTCACTCCAAAACTTTTCTTTATTTTCAAAAAATTTGTTGATAACATCTCCCCCCACTCTCTCATTTGCTCTCTTTTTAACATTGCTTCACCACTCTCTTAACTTCTCTCTTTTTCTCCATATACTCTCCCTCCTTGCATCACTTTTACTTTGTAAAAACTTCTCATATGCTAACTTTTTTTCCCTTACTACTCTCTTTACATCATCATTCCACCAATCGCTCCTCTTCCCCTCCTGCACCCACTTTCCTGAACCACAAACTTCTGCTGAGCACTCTAAAAACTACATTTTTAAACCTACCCCATACCTCTTCGACCCCATTGCCTATGCTCTCATTAGCCCATCTATCCTCCAATAGCTGTTTATATCTTACCCTAACTGCCTTTCCCCTTTTAGTTTATAAACCTTCACCTCTCTCTCTTCCCTGATGCTTCTATTTTTCCTTGTATCCCATCTACCTTTTACTCTCAGTGTAGCTACAACTAGAAAGTGATCTGATATATCTGTGGCCCCTCTATAAAAAATGTACATCCTGAAGTCTACTCAACAGTCTTTTATTCTACCAATACATAAATCCCAACAAAACTACTGTCATTTCGCCCTACATCAATCTGTATACTTATTTATCCTCTTTTTCTTAAAATATGTATTACCTATAACTAAACCCCTTTCTATACAAATTCATCAAAAGGGCTCCCATTATCATTTACACCTGGCACCCCCAAAATACCTACCACACCCTCTCTAAAAGTTTCTCCTACTTTAGCATTCAAGTCCCCTACCACAATTACTCTCTCACTTGGTTCAAAAAGCTCCTATACATTCACTTAACATCTCCCAAAATCTCTCCTCTCCTCTGCATTCCTCTCTTCTCCAGGTGCATACACGCTTATTATGACCCACTTCTCGCATCCAACCTTTTCTTTAATCCACATAATTCTTGAATTTACACATCATATTCTCTTTTCTCCTTCCATAACTGATCATTTAAATTACTGCTACCCCTTCCTTTGCTCTAACTCTCTCAGAATACTCCAGATTTAAACCCATTTTTTTCCCCCCACTGAAACTCTCCTACCCCTTCCCGCTTTGTTTCGCTTAGGGCCAGGACACCAACTTCTTTTCATTCATAACATCAGCAATCATCTGTTTTTTGTCATCCGCACTACATCCACGCACATTTAAGCAACCCAGTTTTATAAAGTTTTTCTTCTTCTCTTTTTTAGTAATTGTATACAGGAGAAGGGGTTACTAGCCCATTGCTCCCGGCATTTTTGTCCCCTCATACGACACGCATGGCTTACGAGGAAAGATTCTTTTCCACTTCCCCATGGACAATAGAAGAAATTTAAAAAAAGAACAAGAGCTATTTAGAAAAAGGAGAAAAACCTAGATGTATGTATATATATATATGCATGTGCGTGTCTGTGAAGTGTGACCAAAGTGTAAGTAGGAGTAGCAAGATATCCCTGTTATCTTAGCGTGTTTATGAGACAGAAAAAGAAACCAGCAATCCTACCATCATGCAAAACAGTTACAGGTTTTTGTTTCACAGTCATCTGGCAGGACAGTAGTACTTCCCTGGGTGGTTGCTGTCTACCAACCTACTACCTACATAATGGATCATGTAATGTGTATACTGCACATGGGTAGATCATGTTAATGCATATTTAAAAATGTATGTTACATTGTGTGTATATTAGGTTTATATATTTGATCTTACAGATATGGTACATCTGCCTTGGAGGAGGAAACAAGTTCAGCAACTTTAACGCAGTTCGATGAAATTTTTGACTTACAGGAGCAGAGTGTTGTGAGAGGTGACTGCAAAACTCTTGTTGGTAAGTTGTATTATAGGAAAACTAACTCTGTGCTTGATAACTGTGGCTATTGTCAAGATGGTGGTGTCCTGTCTTCAGTGTTTAGTGTATTGAAGAGTTTGTTTCCACTGGACGTAACACTTTGGTATTTGGTGTTTCACTTGATAGTGTCCTCAACTCACATACTGAATTTCTGTGACTTTTAACCAACACAGATTGGGCATGTTTCCTTTAAACCACTGCTGCTGCCCCATTTCACCTAGCAGTAAATGTCCGCCAGGGTGTTGTATTGCTGCTGCCTCTCCTCACCTAGCAGTAAGCGTCTGGGTTTTAACTTGACTGTTGTACTGCTGCTGCCCCTCTTCACCTAGCAGTAAGTGTCTGGGTTTTACTTGACTTTTTGTACTGCTGCTGCCTCTCTTCACTTAGCAGTAAGTGTCGGGGTGTTACTTGACTGTTGTACTTGCTGCTGCCCCTCTTCACCTAGCAGTAAGTGTCTAGGTGTTACTTGACTGTTGTACTGCTGCTGCCCTCTTCACCTAGCAGTAAGTGTCTGGGTGTTACTTGACTGTTGAAACTGCTGCTGCTCTCTCTTCCCCTAAGCATAAGTGTCTGGGTGTTACTTGACTGTTGTACTGCTGCTGCCTCTCTTCACCTAGCATAAGGTCTGGGTTTTTACTTGACTGTTGTACTGCTGCTGCCCCTCTTCACCTAGCAGTAAGTGTCTGGGTGTTACTTGACTGTTGTACTGCTGCTGCCTCTCTTCACCTAGCAGTAAGTGTCTGGGTGTTACTTGACTGTTGTACTGCTGCTGCCTCTCTTCACCTAGCAGAAAGTGTCTGGGTGTTTACTTGACTGTTGTACTGCTGCTGCCTCTCTTCACCTAGCAGAAAGTGCCCTGGGTGTTCTTGACTGTTGTAACTGCTGCTGCCTCTCTTCACCTAGCAGTAAGTGTCTGGGTGTTACTTGACTGTTGTGGTTTGCATCCTGGGGGAGGTTATTAACCCCTTCAGTGTCGGTCCTTAAAATTACGCTTTGAAGCCAGTGTCAATCCCGTAAAACAATGCCAAAATTTAGCAGCTTCAAATCTTGCAGGAGAAAGCTGGTAGGTCTTATATGAGAGAATGGGTCTGCATGGCCCAGTGTGCACAGAATAAAAAAAAATCCTGCAGCAAGCAAAACATAATAGAAAAAAAATGCGACCATGTTTTTTGTTTAGAACTGCAATTTTTGCGGTGTTTTTTCCCGTGTGGTATTTATGGTTGTATTCTCACTTTTTTGGTCTCATTTGATAGAATGGAAGATATATTACAGAAATACAGTGGAACCTCTACTTGCGAGCGTGTCTACGTGCGAGTTTTTCCAAATACGAGCATCGATGGTCGATTTTTTGCTTCCAAAATGCGAGCAAAATTTCCACAACGAGCAGACCTCAAGGCAGGTTTCCTTGACACTGGTGAAGGGCTCTTGCTCTTGATCTTGGGAATTGTATCTCATTTGTTTGTTGGACTATCTTATTGAAACTTGGGCAATGTATGATGGAAAGATGCTTCTTAACGTACACCAAAAATGAAAGAAATCTAAGCAAAAATAATGGAGTTTTACTTCTCAGCAATTAGCCACCCCTTATGGTAATTTAGAATGGTTTTTTTGGGGTTGTATTCCTCGTTTTTTTGGTCTCATTTTATAGAATGGAAGATATATTACAGAAATAATATGATTTTGATTGCTTTCACGATGAAAAGTACCTTAAAATAGAGCTCAACCTAGAGAAATGGTCCATTGCTTGGCTGTTTCGTGTAAAACAAATGACATCACAGTAAATCTTATATTTTTTTGTGTGAATAAAAATTACTGTAGGAGGGGTGTTAATGTTTTATAACTTTTGTGTAAGTGCCCCTCTGGCAAGACATTAATGGAGTGAATGAGGTGAAATTTTTTTCTTTTTTGGGCCACCCTACCTTGGTGAGAGGTGGCCAATGTTTTAATAATAAAAAAATTTTAATTTTATTTATTTATTTATTATTATTTGGAAATGATACATAGATACATAGTTATACAAAAGAAATACAGTGGTTGAGTGTACATGCCAAAAGCCCCTTGTATGTAGAGCATTGTGGGCAGGCTTAAAATTAACTTAAGATTAACTAAGCAACAATATATTCAGTGGTAATAATAATAGACAATGGACAGTGAGGTGAGATTTCAATGTACAGTACATCATTTTGCTTAAAGTTGTAGTTTGCAAGAATTTATTGGCAACATTAAGTGAGGACTTACTGTATATCACTAATTAATTCTTTTATTGAATTACTAAATACGTACCACCAGTATAATAAAAACTTTGTATTCTTATTCTTGTATATTTGTTATCATAATTTAGTTTTAAGGCTGCCAGAAATACCTTGCATAACAAGAAGCTTGCTATAAAGTGCTTTATATATATTAGTCACCTTAATTGTGTAATGTACTGTATTCCACTTTACAGAAATAAAGTTTGTTTGTTTTGTTTGTATCTTAAGTTTTTACTGGATAATTGTACCTACTGTTTTACTGATTGTCCAGTAATATAAACCTTGGATAATTGAAATCTGTGAATACTGACACCCACAAATGTTTAAGAATTATTTAACTGCCTTTTTTGTTTTTTGTTATGGTGTGTCTTGTACTGCGGCTGCTCTGTGAAGTCTCCTCTTGCTGCAAACTCTAACTCTTCTCTCAGCATTTTATGTGTGTTCTTACTAATGAACAAAATGACACTGAAATTAATTAATTTTGTTCTTCTACAGACAAGTTGGGAAATGAAGAAGAAGACAAAGTGTCGGTGGTGTGTGATGTTGAGTCCATCTTCACTCACTACTGCAAGACTCGACACCTCAAGTATGAGTCATCGCTGATGTGGGCAGACATTGTCTTGCCTCTGCTGGCTGCTAAAATGCCCAGAGATCACATTTACATCTGCTTTGAGGAAGTTCTGGAAAAATACATACCCAGGTGTGAGGTTCTGTGCTACCTTGAAATATTCTTGAAATACAGTGGACCCTCGACCAACGATATTAATCCGTTCCTGAGAGCTCATTGTTAATCAAAATTATCGTTAGTCGAGTTAATTTTCCCCATTAGAAATAATGGAAATCAAATTAATCCATGCAAGACACCCAAAAGATTTGAAAAAAAAAATTTTTACCACATGAAATATTAATTTTAATACCACAAACTGAAGAAGACATGTACAATTACATGAAAACTTACCTTTTTTGAAGATCTGGTGATGATTGATGGATGGGAGGAGGGGAGAGTGTGGATGGTGTTAGTGTTTAGAAAGGGAATCCCCTTCCTTTAGGACTTGAGGTGTCAAGTCCTTTTCCGGGGTTACTTCCCGTCTTCTTTTAATGCCACTAGGACCAGCTTGAGAGTCACTGGGACCTCTGTCGCACAACATATCTGTCCATAGAGGCCTGTACCTCCCGTTCCTTTATGACATTCCTAAAGTGTTTCACAAAAATTCATGTCACAATTAAACACTTGTTCGGGTTTCAATTCTTCACTGTTTATGTACTCCTTGAATTCCTGCACATATTTTTCAGCTGCTTTTTGGCCCGAACTGGCAGCCTCACCATGCCTTATCACACTATGTATGTCACAAAACGATTCTTAAATCTCTCAAACCAACCTTTGCTGGCCTTAAATCACTCACATCACCACTAGTTGCAGGCATTTTTCTAATTAAATCGCCATGCAACTTCCTAGCCTTTTCACATATGATCGCTTGAGAGATGCTATCTCCTCTAATCTGTTTTTCTTTTTATCCACCAATAACAGTCTCTCAACATCTTCTATCAATTGCGATCTCAGTTTCGAAAACATATTTTGAAACCTTTGGAAAGAACAGCTTCCTTGATTGCCGTTTTCTTGGCCAAATAGTAGCGATGGTTGATTGGGGTTTTGTGTACACCTGGCCAACTCGGAGACACCACTCCACTTTGATATTTAAAGCAATAATCCTCTCTTCATACCATAGTAATTCTCACCCTTTTTGCTGTAGGGTTTTGGCACTAGAAGCTTTTTTGGGGCCCATGGTGACTTATTTTGCAGGTGCAATCACTGGAAAACACTGTGATAATATGAAATGTTCCGATTGTATGTTTGGATGGGATCGCGGTGGCTGGCTGGCTTGTAAACACTGGCCACAAGTGGACACATCTCGAACGGAATGAATCGTGTTGGTCGAGTTTTTTAGCGCTAGCCGAGCAAAATTTTTTCGTTAAAAAAGTATCGCTAGTCGGATTTAACGTTAGACGATGCCATCGTTGGTCGAGGGTCCACTTACAGTAGAACCCCCCGTGTCCACTGATTCAGTATCCATGGTTTCAGTTTTTTCATGGTTTTGCTGTGGCCCAAAAATACCTTTTAATTTTGCATAATAATGGCCCCAGAGCTCAAAAGTAGAGAAGCTGCCATTCTTCATAAACCCAAAAAGCTGTGAAATGCTTCCCATCACTGAAAAAAATGATAATTTTCCACTTACTGTGCATAAATTTTTCAATTCAATTGTTTAATAGGTATGTATAGGACTTATATATAAAGTTTGCTACTATCCACAGTTTTGGTGTCCACGGTGGGTTCTTGGAACATGTTACCCGCGGATACGGGGGTCCTACTGTATATACCCAGGTGTGAGGTTCTGTCGTTCTTTAGTGTAAATATTCTTGAAATAATACCCAGGTGTGAGGTTCTGGGGTTCTTTTAGTGTAAATATTCTTGAAATACATACCCAGGTGTGAGGTTCTGGGGTTTTAGTTTAATATATTAGTTTTATTGTTCTTGATATGTGTATGGTAGTTCCTTTAAATTTTTTCTTGATGTTCAGTACAATACTGTACCTGTCCCTGTACAAAAACTGTACCTGTCCCTGTACAAACTATACCCCGTTGTCACGTACAATACTGGGACCTGTTGTCCCTGTACAATACTGTACCTGTTGTCCCTGTAAAAATACTGTACCTGTTGTCCCTGTACAATACGTACCTGTTGTCCCCCGTGCAATACTGTACCTATTGTCCCCCGTGCAATACTGTAACCTGTTGTCCCTGTGCAATACTGTACCTGTTTGTTCCTGTACAATAGCTGTACCTGTTCACCTAGCAGCAAGCAGCTACAATACCTGGGTTTAGCTGACTATTTTTGGGTTGCATCCCAGGGGAGAGCATCAAACGAACCCGGTGGAAATAAGCCAGACATTCTTATAAGAGTAGCTTTGTTGGTTATCCTGTGTTAATAAGCCAAACAAAAGAGGTTCATCAGTGACTACCATCACTGCCTTCATCAGGATACAATCACTTAGAGACTGTATATATAAGCAGTCAGTTAATTATTGCTTTATTAGTCTTATGCTCTGCTTACTAAGAGGCTGTTTGTATGCACGCCTAAATGTCACCCAATCTCTGTACAAAAATTATCTAGCTGATATAATGAATCTTAAATGTAGGTAGTAGGTTGGTAAACAGCAGCTGTCCACGGAGGTACTATTGTCCTGCCAAGTGAGTGTAAAAAAGGAATCCTGTAATTGTTTTATGTGATGGTAAGATTGCTAGTGTCTTTTTTTCTGTCTCTTAAACATGCAAGATTTTAAAGGTTTTGTCTTGCTACTTCTAAATTACACTTAGGTCACACTACACATACATGTACAAGCATATATATACACACCCCTCTGGGTTTTCTTCTTATTTTCTTTGTAGTTCTTGTTTATTTCCTTATCTTCATGGGGGGAAATGGACCAGAATTCTTCCTCCGTAAGCCATGCGTGTTGTAAGAGGCGACTAAAATGCCGGGAGCAAGGGCCTAGTAACCCCTTCTCCCGTATAAATTACTAAAATTTTAAAAAAAGAAACTTTTGTTTTTCTTTTTGGGCCACCCTGCCTTTGGGGGGATATGGCCGGTTTGTTGAAAAATAAAAAAAAAATCTTTAACTTTTAATAGTTTAAAATTCCCCATAGTTATGTGGCCCTGTACAGTAAGTCCTCAACTTTCAAACACATAAGGGTCCTTCTGAAGTGTGTAAAATTCATAATACAGGAAGTCTTCAACTTACAAACACGTTGGGGACCTTCTGTATTGTGTATAATAATAATAATATACACAATAAAAGATAATAATCCTAGGGAGTAGGTTGGTAGACAGCAACCGCCCAGGGAGGTACTACCGTCCTGCCAAGTGAAATGTAAAAATGAAGCCTGTAATTGTTTTACACATGGTAGGATTGCTGGTGTCCCTTTTTTTTTCTGTCTCATACACATGCAAGATTTTTAGTACGTCTTGCTACTTCTACTTACACTTAGGTCACACTACACATACATGTACAAGCACATATATACACACCCCCCTGGTTTTTCTTCTATTTTCTTCTAGTTCTTATTTTTGTTTAATTTTCCTCTTATCCCATGGGGAAGTGGAAAAGAATTCTTCCTCCGTAAGCCATGCGTGTTGTAAAGAGGCAAATAAAATGCCGGGGGCAAGGGGCTAGTAACCTCTTCTCCTGTATATATTACTAAATGTAAAAGGAGAAACTTTCGTTTTTCCTTTTGGGCCACCCGCCTCGGTGGGATAACGGCCGGTGTGTTGAAAGAAAGAAAGATATATACACACACACCCCTTTTGGGGTTTTTTTCTATTTTCTTTCTAGTTTTTTGTCTTGTTTATTTCCTCTTACCTCCATGGGGAAGTGAACAGAATTCTTCCTCTGTAAGCCATGCGTGTTGTAAGAGGCGACTAAAATGCCGGGAGAGGGACTAGTAACCCCTTCCGTATATATATAAATTTAAAAGAGAAACTTTTTGGGGTTTTCTTTTGGGCACCCTGCCTGGTGGGATGCGGCCGGTTTGTTAAAAAAAAAAAAAAAAAAAAAAAAAAAAAAATGGAGAAACTTTCGTTTTTCCTTTTGGGCACTCGCCGTGGTACAGCCGTTGTGTTGAAAGAAAGAGAATGATAATAATATACACAATAGAGAAGATTGTCAACCGTGTTGGTAAAGTTTGAGGACTTGCTGTAAAATTACTGCTACTTATCTATATTTTCACTTACCTGCAGGAATTGTGACACTTCTGGACTCCCGTTTAAATGTATAAGGGTAATGGGGATAGAGAAGAACAACATGAAGTATGTAGTTAATAGTTTCCAGCAGTGTTTGTGTTGTGCTGGTGCATCAACCCGGTTTTAGTGATAGTTACAACTTGTTATGATTGTTAAGTAAAAGACTCAGAGCAACTAATGTGACTGTTGTGTGGCAAACGTTTCGCCAGGATCTTCTCAAACCGTTACAAACAATACATGGGCACACCGGATATATAAGGCTAGGTGAGGTGTAATACAGTGGACCCTCAGTTAATGATGTCATTGATAGTGAAAAAAACGGATATGACACTTTTTTGCATCAAAATTTTTGGCTTGGATAACGAAAAAAAACAATCGGTTAAAGACATTCGTCCCAACGTGTCCGCGTAACACTCCATGTAAAGCCAGTGTGCTATTGTTTACAAGCCAGCGAGGATGATTCCACAAAATACATGCGATAATTTTGTATTATTCCATTGTTTTTAGTTGCTGTAACTGCTAAATAAACCACTATTTTGGGGCCCAAAGAAAGCTTCTAGTCCAAACCCTGTGGTAAAAGAAGGAAAGAAACACAAGAATTAAGAAAAAAACTCGTACCAAAGTAAACCCAAAATGGAGGGAAGAGAGAGGGGAAAATGTGCCTTCTGCAGTTATTCAGTAATTCTACAACATGTATTTATACTAAAGCAAGCAGGAATAGATAAAGGTATATGCCAGCATCGATAAGTTTAGAAAATTAAAAAGTGTAAACAAATAAGTTAAGCGAGTAACGATGAAAACAACACGAAAGTAACTCTCCAATGTTGTTGGATGTGTAAAAGGCCAATGAACATATGCTGCCCTACTATCTTCAACCACCCTAAGCCTCTGCCAGCATCTCCTCC